ATTTGTTTTGTGGGCATTTTGGAAAAGTTTGCACTGTCAAACCTATAGCTAACTCTATTTAATTTGTCTGTCTAAAATCCCTGCTGTAGATCTGGTCAAAAACTGAGCACTAGAAGTAAACTGTTCAATTATTTAAAATCTGTTTTCTTTGCAAGTTTCTTGTAAACCTGTCTTCATTTCTACAGACATATTTTGCATTCAAAGTATTTGCCAAACAGCTTCTGTCAAAAAAATTCAGTGTAGGGTTTGTTTTCAACTATGATTATTTTATCTGTTTACTCTTTTTACTTTTGATGTATGAATGATTCCCTAAATGGTGAGGTATTATTTCTGCTTTTTGTCCTAGAGGATTGTAAATTTTTTTATCCAAAGAGTAAGAAACTATAAAAAGAAAGACGCAACATACAATATATAGGGTCTTTTGAAACATGAGTATAGATGACATTCATCCAGTGCACATCCCTTAAACACCCATTTATACAGAATATAACACTGATTCATGAATCAGAAAATATAAAAATACAAACCTAATAAAACTCTGGAGCCGTTTAGTATGAGCCCCAATCTTTGCTCCATTCTGCAGTATTCATCTGGGGCTCTGACAGATTTAGCCATGGCAATAATGTGTGAGTGTTACTGATTTCAGCTGTCCACAGACTTTCCCCCAGTTACGGCTGCTGTGGTGGGAGTGGTGGAACGGATGTTGTCTCAGTCACTCCCATTCAAAATCTGGTACATTAGCTTAAATCACCGATGAAACAGGGTTGTGTTAAGATGCCAGATTGTGAACTGCAGCAGCTGAGGTACACAGCTAAACAGATTTAATGGGTCTTTTGCTGCTGAAAAGAATAGTCCTGTATAGCTCCCTCCTCCTCTCTCCCCCCTGCAAATCTCTATGGAAGGGTTGGAGGTGAGAGTCAGGGGGAATAATAGCATAAAGAATTGCAGATAAATTATCCAGAGAGTGATTATAAAAGCCATACTTCTAATTTATAAACCTTTGTTTCCTGAAGTAAAAAGAAGTTGGGGATGGGATCTTGTTGTGTTGTTTTATTTGTTTCTATCCTAGACGTGTTTTTCTGATCCCAGATATCTCAGGATGTACTCTTGTTATATCTCATCAGGTTACTGGTCTGCCTGCCTGGTTTCTCATCCATGGCAGATGCTTAATATGAGAAGTAAAAGTTTCACTTGGAAGCCACAAATAGAGATGTCTAGGAAGAAAAACACATCATTCAAATTAATTCATGATAAAATTCTATCTTTTAATAGGTAAATTAATATTTTAATTCATGTTTTATCTTTTGACTTAGATTTGGATGTCTGGCATATATCTGGTGAGGCTGCTCTACAATCCTGTGGTTTTGGGTTTTTTAATTTCATCACCATCTCCTTTTAGCATCTCTCTGTGCACAGTTTGGTCTTCCTAGAAGTCAGATCTGTAAAACAGACTCCTTTGAAACACAGAGAACAAGAGAATTTTTGTGAGGGAGAAAGTGGGTTAATGAGAGTTACTTCTTGCTGTTAAAAAGCAATCCTAGGTCTCACTTATGGACAGATGGTGTATAACTTCTCTAAAGCAAGATACTACTTGTGGTCTGGTCAGCAGTTGTGCCATTGCCTGTTGGGAACTGAAAAGCATATTTATTTTTATCCTGCTATTGGCTTATGGGATTTTAAAGTACCTTTTTTAGCTTGCATAACTGTAAATATTGTTACTGGACCTCTCAAACTCTTCTCAATGCTTGCTCCAATATTTGACCTTCTAACCTGCTCCAGGAGATGGCAAATTCCACAGGCTGATGACATGCTGGGTGAGGGAGTGTCTCCTGTTATGGAGACTTTCAGTTTTGCTGAGTGAACTCCTGTTCTCATGCTTTAGGATAAGCAAAAAATTGGGACTGATCAGTTCTCCTTAGAGCCTACTTAAATTTTGATTGCTTTTTCTAGGTCTCTCCTATGCTAGATCAGAAGCTCACACTGTTTTCATTCTCTTGTTACCTGTATAGTCTGGCCATGTACATGTATAAGAAATGCTAGTAGGTACTGTGCAACTCATTTGGCCACAGGACCGTCCCTCTATAACTAAAAATTCTTATATCTGTATTGTATCATAACTTTAATGACTGTTCCTGCTACTCCATCCAGGAGCTCTTTGAGGAGGAGTGAGTCATGCATTGCCAGCCCAGAGTGTGCAGTGCACATTCCCACAGGCTCTTCATAAACCCACAGCTGGAAACTTCTGAGAAGACATGAAGACACCTGCTCTTCATTTAGTGCTCAGAGCAGGGACTCAAAAGACGCCTTTAAATGTACTTTCAACTGAAAGACTTCTCTTTTTTTTGTCCACCACTGATCACTCCTCCCCTCACCTCACACTTGTCAAGTCATGTCATTGCCAGGACCCTCTGCTTGTCTCAGCTATGTGTAATGAATCCTGATTTAGAATTCTGCCAACCACTCCAATTTGTCATGAATGGGTGATTTAGATCACTTAAAGAAATACATTCAAATATATTAGCGAAAGCGGGTTTAATATGTTATAAAAGTGCAACTGAACAAAGTTCAGTGGCAAGGTTCACTCTATTACTGTACAGCACAATCGTTTGAACAGCGATTCAAAACTACCAAGTCACAAATCAAAGTTACCAAGACAAAATCAAAGATACCAAGGCACAAATCAAAGTTACCATACTACAAGGTTATGCATAATATCAGTTGCTTACCAAAGATATGCTGTTGGTAAAAGGTCTCTCTGCCTTGAAGAAGCACCTTTAGAGGTGTCCTAGCTCAAGAGGAGATCACTGCCATGCAGCCAAGCTGCCTAGCTGGGAAAGCTCATGGAAGGCTCACTTAGGCTGTCATATTTATGGAGTAAAGTGGTTGGCTTGTAGTCAAATTACATGCGATGGGATAGGTATGTATGAGACTCCTTGTACCCACAAATTCATTTGTTCCTTGATAAATGAGTCTTGGAAAAGCCACCCGCTATTCATGTGTTAAGCACATGATTGGTGTTCCAAGCTCATATGCATCAATGCTCACTGTGTCACTCTGCTCCTTTGTGGGTTTACAGGGAACAGATTGAAATTAGAGGAGTTGTTGGCCCATTTATGGCTTACGCCTTTACCTCCTTTGGAGCCTGAACCAAACTACTGCTTGTTTGGTTAAAAGGTTGAGTGCATTCTTATCACTATGTGGTTGTATGTAATACTCTTTCCCTCCCCTGTTAGCACTGTATATTTCCCAGTCATAAGCATGCAGGAATCTGTGTGCATTCACCTATATTTTGTACTGTCTGTTGGCTTCATGAAATCCCTGTAAGGTATCGCAAAGAAAATGTCAGTAGCATGATTTCTCTTGTGGCAACCTGTGTAAAGGTGAATAGAAACACTCCACCCCTTCCTGCTCTAGAAGCAGATATGTATGCTCTTTTCAATTTTGTAACTCAAGGAACCTTTAATCTTCTGGGCTTCTTTATTTGAGTATTGTAAAGGCTGAAGATGGTGACAATCACTTTTGGCTCTTTACTTAACCTCAAGATGGGTTGAAAGAGAAAATTCCAAGCCCTGGATTTTTTCAGAAGTTTATGAGCATTTTAACTGGTGAAGCTGTTTTTTTCATCTATGAAACCTGGGCTTCAAATCCACGATAGACTTGAAACTTTCCATTGGGTGGAGTGATTTAATATACAAGGAGTTCATTTGACTTTTTGTTTAGTATAATTTTCTTGTCCTCTTTGCCCTTTGCCCCAGTTCCTGGCTTACTGATTTCTATACTTTTCTCCTTATTACCTAGCTCTAGGAAAGTCTCTCTCTTCCTCAGTCCTAAATAGATTACATTTTCACCAGCTGTCACAGCTACCTGTGTATCCTCCTCAGTTATCACATTTCTTATCTGAGCATAACTGTTCCCAGGTCTTCAAAAACTGCTCTGCACCTCATATCTCAGTAGAGATACATTCTGCAGGATCAGGGGGTCTCACTCCTTCCTTCTAGTTAAGGATAGTTATCCAGTTTATTCTCCAAGAACACAAATCTTTCCATTTTCGTTTCTTTGACATGGGCCAAAGAAATAAAAATTGAGACACCAGATATACTTCCCCACTTTCAAGTCTAAGGATGGTTAAGACCATAACAGAAAGAAAAATCAGCTGCAAAATTTGGACCCCACTGCCAAACTTCTCAGAGCTGGAAGCTGTACCCTGGGCAGTCCTTCATATTCTTCCCTTCTCCAGAGTTGTCTGAAGTGTGGGCCTGGACTTGAACTTCTGAAGTTTGACGTGTGTTTGTGATCTGGGGTTTTGATTCCATTTCATCTCTAATAGTTTCTTTTTCCAAACCCTTGGGTAGTTGCCTTTTCTAATAGGTTGTTGTTTTTTTTTTCCAAACCCTTGGGTAGTTGCCCTTTCCTAGAACACATTCTGAGCACAAGAAACACCCTTCTGAAAAAACACAAACACTCAGAAGAGGAACACAGAGAACTGAAAGAGCTTCACCAAGAAGTTTTGTTTCTCTATAAACCCTACATAGGAAACCCTGGCCTCTGTGCTTCCTCAGCATTTGCTTTATTTATTTATTTTCCTCCTCTCCAGATTGGACGCACTTTCTGCCAAACAGAGAAAGGCTTTGTGAGATGAGGAATGGCTCAGATTTGCAGCCCGTAAAGTATGTGCTGCCTCCTTCTGAGAGCTGAAGGCTAATTTCTGCCCTTGATGCCCCTCCTTCCCCCCAAAAGCAGTTCTTTTTAGTAATACTCCTCTTCTTACCCTCACTCTTTTTGAAAAAGGTCCATTACAGCTCCTGACAGAACAGGGCAGAGATCCTGCTGCTAGCTTTTCTTCAAATGAGAACAGAGAGAAAAAGCAGAACTGGGTTTTCAAGGGAAATTGGCTACCAAAGCTGAGGAACAAATGATAGGAGCAATGGATATTCTCCCCAAACTGGGGGCCTTCCCTCCCGCTTCTCCCTCCCATGAGTATTTCCCTGAAATGGACTCACTTGAATATTGATGCTCTCCCCTTCCGAGGCCATCCTTTTGCCCCCAAGTCTCTTCCTCTGCAGACGACACACAGCACGGGGCACTCTGCACTCCTGGAAACTCTCTCTTCGCTGGACCGGGACGCGCAGCTGCTGGAACAGACCTGCTATTCATCTGCCGGCGGCCGGCCGCCCGCCTTGGCATCAGCTGGGGGGCGAGAAAGGGGGTGGCACGCCAATTCTTCATTGTCCGGGCAGTCCATGGAACAAGCATCCCTCTTAGACTTTCCGTGACGGTTGTGTTCATTACATGTCTGTGCTACCTCTCTGAGTCCAGCTGAGCCTCATGAGCTCACTCGGGTTGGGACACGGTGATGCAGCCAGTGTACCAAGAGGTTCCTGGCATGGGCTGTGCAGCCACAGCAACGATTCCGATCTCTCTCTCTCACCAGCGCACAGATGAAAAACTGACAGTGGAAGAGATTAGATCCAAAAGGTTGTGCCAGCTAGCTGCTGCTGTTACTGCTGCAAAGATACTGTTACATCTCAGCTAAAATTTACACTTTACTCTCTTTATAGTGCCTTCTTCTCATTTTTCTCCCCAGCCAAAATGCCATTCCTTTCCCCTACTTAGCACTTTTTTGGGTTGAATTTGATATGTCTGGTCTTAGCTGAAATTAAATCTTGTTTTTTGCTTCTGTTAAAAGCAACTATGAATGACACTGGAATGGAAATGTATGCAGCCAGAATTAAGTCACAGCATAGAAAAATACGTTGTTATTATTAGGTGGAATCCTCAGGCAGAAAATCAGAGTAATTCTCTAGGTTTTAGAGAAACTTTGCTACTCTGTACTACCTGCAGATCAAGTAGGCATGTCTGGCTTTGGAAGGACAATTTCTGTAGTTACAGTAGCATAGAAAATTTGTAGTAAAATGTACCGTTTAAACAGTTTAGCCAAATGCATGTTGTAGCACTCCAGCCTGACTAAAAGTGCTGACAAGTCTGTCAGTAGACGATCCTGTTGCACTGATGCTTCCCAGCAAAAGGCTTCATTTTGCAATGGAAATACCAGTGCTTAGTGCTGCAAGTTCATTTCAAAGTGCTGATGAATTTAGCCTCTCTGCATTCCTCTCTAACAGCTTTTTAATTTTACTTATAGATGTATGAGATAAAGCAGTGAGATGTGTTTAGGGAGTGGGCTAATGTCATGCTGGAAAGTAGGGCTAGGATACAGCCCACTTCATCCTTAGGGTTTGACCTAACACTGAGAGCCCACCAGGAACCATGAGGCTGATTCTACAACCAAAACAACCAAAAGCCACCCTCACGGTTCCCACTTCTGAATGAAAATTAAGATACCTGTATCTTGTTATCACTGAAGTGACTGTTTAAATCCTACAGGGAAATGGAGTTGAGGCTCTTCAGCTTTTTTTTTTTTTTTTTTTTTTTTTTTTTTTTTTTAAGGTAAGGAGTATTTAACCCAAAATGTAGCCATCTGCTGCTGCCGTTGATTTGGTCTCCTGTTGGGAATCTGTATGTTAACTAAAAACTCCCTGTAAGTATACTATTGCACAGATGTTAATATAGGTAATTACCTGTTTTAATTTACTTTTCTTAGTGTAGCCTATAAAAAGATGTTATGGTTGATCAGTTTATAAATATATATTGTTTACTAATAGATAATTTACACTGGGTGAGTGTCCACTGTGTTTTTTCAGGCACTCCTGGGAGTTAAAAGGACTTCATGTTATGCAGGTCCTTTGTGAACTGACTTCCAGTAAACAACCCACAAAGTCTGGCTAAAGTTTTCTGAGTTCATATATATGCTATAAGTATAAAAACAAGTCCAAAATATCTTCTAGTGGTCAGGCAGGAATGAAGTAGCTATCATTTTATTTAGTAGATAAACAAACAAATATCACCAGTGTACAAATTTCAGACAAGACTGCATATATAACAATGTGCCTTTTAAAAATTATTTTTTCTTAGTATATCTAAATGCTGTGATAGGAGCTTTTTTTTTTTTTTTACACACTCTCCAGAGAGGTTGTCCTTAAAATATCTACAGAAATCAGTCAAAATTTACAGTAACCCTTGTGTCCTTGTAGACACTTCAATTAAACCAGGTTCCTAATGCCTTCTCCCAGGATAACATGAAAGAGTCTTTCTGCAAAACATATTAGTAGTAATGGCTGTATCAGCCTCCCCTGAAGTGTCTGGAGTCAAGCACATTAGAATGAAAAAACTTCAAATAACAAAATTTCTCTTGGAAATTATTTGTCTGTGTCATTAATAGCAAAGCTAAGAGCCAAAAAACATGAGAAGGAAAGTGGGTTTATTTTAACTTGAATTGTAATAGCTGCCCAAGAAAGGAGTGCCTCGGTGAACAGTTATAACTAAGATTTACTTGTTACTAAATGCAATTACAAATAACTACATTTTTCAAACTATCTAGTAATTTTTAATTATGATGGAAGAATGCACCGTTGTAATGGTCCAAAGGCATAGAAAAGGCAGCCCAACTTCTAAAAGGGATTGTGTGACATGAGTGGCAGCACTCACCAGTTTTAGACCCAACAGCCCCTGAACTCTCTTCCAGTCTTTTTTAGAACACAAGACAAGTAGGAGACCTCCAAAACCTGGCTGTTCTAATGGATGTTGATTGATTTGAGAGTCTTTCTGGTAATGCATACTAGAGACATAAAGAGCAGTGTTCCTTGAAAGGAGGGTCGGGAGCATCTGGGGCATGATGAAGAGTATGTGATTGTCCTTGCAAGATCATCCCACGCTAGCTGAGAGTGGAGGGGAGACTCTGTGGATCAACCACATTCACTTGGGAGGATCACACATGGCAAAGTTGCTTATTTCCACCCCCATCCTCTTTCCTCCCTTATGGCAGCCAAAGTGCTTGTGCAGCCACCCAAGAAACCAGACAGAAGAACTTCCATCTGGAAAAAAAAAAATAAAATCACAGGCTATTTTTTTGGCTGGGATCAGATTCCTGACCTGGTTCCGCACATAGCTGCACAAACACTTACGCTGGCAGTAGTGAGGGCGCCTGGCGGGAAATGGAAAAAACAGCTGGGAGTGGAGAAGGGTGGGGACAAGCCGGTTCAAGCAGCATTGCTGCTGAATGTGTAACCACAGTGTTGCAGTGCCGGTGCCACCAGTGGGGCTGGCCTCTGTGAAGGGGACATGGGAAGAAGAGCTGAAATTCTTGGGCTTCAGCACTAGCCAGTAGAGACCGCTGGCAGCAGAAAGTAGGCGATGCTGTGTGAAGACTGATGCAAGAATTACTCTTTCCCACCATTCTCAGATGTGTTGCGATACTCAAGAGAGAGCCATAACCAGGTTAAGACCACAAGAGTTTCTGTAGGACAACTACACTTCTAACAGCAAATAACAGGGCAACTTCACTTCTTAACCCTTCTCGGGCCTTGATTTTGTGTTACAAAAGTGTTTTGGTTTTGGTTTTGAGGCACCATTTCTTCAGCTCATAATTTTGGGCCACTTCTTCACTATATCAGGGAAGAAGTGTGCTACTGATCTATTATGGGTGTACTCACCTGACTCTAAGAGGATATGAAAAGACCTTGACTTGTCTAGCTTTACAGAATGAAAAACCAAGAGGGATACTGATGCCAACTACAAATTCACTAAACCGGAAAACTCTAGGGAGATGGAAATGCTGCATTAGCACAGGAAATAATTAATAAACTGGCCAAGAAAAAAATCTAGGTTAGAAATTAGAGGAAGGTTCTTGGCTGCCTAAGTGCTGATGTTCTGAAGAAGCCAACCAATGAGAGAAGCAAGGACAATCCTACAACCCCCACCACGGCAGGGTGGTTGGAACTAGATGATCTTTAAGGTGCCTTCGAACTCAAACCGTGCTATGATTCTATGACAAGAAAGCAAACTGGACTAGAGATTAAGTTTTTTGAGTTTACTGAAAGGACTACCTGATATGGCTGCCCATGACAGCCAGGGGCTAACCCTGCTAACCATAACTGTCCCAAGTCCTATTTTCTATGTTTCACTGGTGGTTGCCTTTGAAGAGCAAAACTTGGCAGTGCTGTAGTGCATGCTGCTGCAAAAGTGAAGGCAAGTGACGAGATAGCCAAAAGCCCATTTTTTGTAATTTCTTTAGGAGCATTAGTCCCATTGTCTTTCAATTAATGGTAGGTTTATATAGCTCCTGGTTGGCAGGACTGGCTTTACTTTTTATAGGAGAGAACCACAGAGTATAGCCTAGTGTTTGGAAGAGTAGTAATCTTAAGGAAGGCTCTGGAGACAAAGAACGCAAAGAAGCAAGTAATACTTCTAAAATTTTCCCAGAGGGTGATAAATGAACATGTACTTATCCAATGAATCATTAAATTATATGAAAGTAAGGCTAGGAGGGATTATAAGGAGTCACCAATTCCTTCTCATGCTCCAAGAGCACAGCGGGTCAGTGGTACCTGTCCCGTTAGCACAGACGCTGTCCCAGCCTGCTTCAAAAGCATTCCAGATGTGGAGATTTCCAAGACAGCCTATCCCAGTATTTCAGTAACACCATCCTAACAGCTAGAAATGGTTTTGCTAATATCTAATAAAAAAACTTCCCTGCTGCAATTTCAGACTGTTACTCTTATCCTCTCCACGTGGGAGAGAAGAGATTATTTCCTTCCTCTTTGCTGTAGTCGTTTACATTTTTGAGGGCTGTTATCATGTCTCTGTTCAGTCTTCTCTATACTTAAGAAAACAAAAATTCCTTTGCAGTTTCCTCATAAGTTATATTTCATAGATCTCTGAGTGCTCTTGTTGCTCTCTGAACTCTTTTCTGTTGAATTATTGGAGAATTTTGAACTGTTAGCAGTCTGCATCAGCACAGGTGAAAATAGTCATAGGGGTGCAAGTGTGAGAAATAATCTTCTGTGTATTTGGATTTATAATGGGAGTCTGGAGCACAGACTGTAATTTTTGTGGGGTCTGACTAAGTGCAAGTTTTCTGTCTGTCCTTGAGAGAAAATCACTACTTCCCACTAAAAAGTCAGGACAGAAGCTAGACAGATTCTTTTAGCACTCTTCAGTGTTTTAAAATGTTGCGGTAAGCCACAATCAAAGTGAGAATAGAGTAAAGGTAGATCAGGCTGTAGGAAGTCCAAGGTCACCTCCTGAGCACCAGCTGAAGCTCATGTAAATGGCTACTGATAATTCCCAGAAATCCTAGCAGCCCAACCTTGCTTTGGCTCTCAAAGGAAGGATTTGAAGCAATGAAACCATGTCACATTTGGAGAACAGCTTCTGAAGTGTGAATGCTCTTTCCTGGGTGCTAGACTGTTGGATTTTGTCTTCCTTAATCAAACATCTGTACTGGAAAGGGAGATTAAGAACACTAATTAACCACAGGCCTCGCAGGGGAAGATATCGCTCAAGAAACAGAGAGCTCAAT